GTGAGACACTAAGGAGGCAGTTTCACTGTATTTTTAATGCTTGTTTTGTTTAAATACCCATCTTTTCAACTTTGTTTCATAAATTACAGTAGAACATGTTCATTTCTTTTCATATCGTCTATGAAAACAGAAAGTGTTGATTTTAAGCACTTTTTTCATTTATTTATTTATTTCAGTTATCATTCATAAATATATTAGTATTGTTAAGGGAAAAGTCCAGTCAGCCGGAATAATCAATGGATCATTATTTATACCTGAAACTAATACGTTTGCAGTGATTTCATTATTTTAGCGTTAATCAGTAAGAAAAAAAATAAAAGCAATATATTTTCATGGCGACCACATAGTCTGGGAGCGGCCATTTTTGCCCAAATATAGTAGCCCCTCCCTCCTGCCATCTTCCAGCAGTGACGTCACGGTGCGGTAAGCCTAGCGCCATTCTCCCCGCTTTACAAGCTAAATCAACCTGAGTGAAGTTGGCGTAGAAACGTTTGTTCTACGTTTGTGCAGCAAAAATTTTCGTTTGTGCTGCTTTGGATTTGAAGATTTGAAGAAAGTGGGGGGGGCTGGTTGACCTTTGATGACCTCTGGAAATATTTCTTTATATCTTTAAAATGATAGCGGCACAAACGAAAATTTTTGCTGCACAAACGTTTGACACCAATTTTGTCTAATTTAAAGAAGGTGGGGGGGCTAGTTGACCTTTTGACCTTTACATTTTCATTAATATCTTCAAAGCCAAAGCAGCACAAATGACAATTGTTGCTGCACAAACGTTTGACACTAATTTTGTCTGATTTGAAGGAGGTGGGGGGGCCAACTTCACTCAGGTGCAATGGGAACTACTAGACACATCTGCAATCAACAACAATTATTGAAGATTTCCAGAGGACTTCACCATTGAAATTCACCAGAGCTATAGTGAAACTGACAATGCCCACAGTGACCGTTCAGACAGATGATCACTGCTTTTTGCCCCGTTGGTCACGTAACTCCTCCTCCACCACATCGTTGTTATTAGTCGCCTCTGTGACAGCAAATCCCATAATGCTTTGCGAGGAGAGCTCTCTGCGCAAAGCATTCTGGGATATATCTGCCTTTCTTTTCTTCTCATCCACTTCGTAGACACTTTTTCCTCTTCTGACCATCGGCCATTTTCAATCAGTCAATGAGCTTCAATGACTGTCTGAAACCGGAGCTCACCACAGATATACGCCTGAAAGTGCGCAGAAAAAGCTAGCTAACGGGACGAGCACGTAGGACGGCCTTACGTAAACATATCACCGGAATGATTGACAGTTAGGAGGACCACTGATTTAGATGATCCACGAGGAAGTAAAAGCTCATCCTCTACATTTTAACTGACTAAATTAATTTGGTCCAACTGTCTTTTTACCTTTGAAAAATGTAGCATCCTGTGGAACCTGAATATTAGTGAGCATAAGAAGGGTGTTAGCATCGCTTTTTTTAAATGACATTTTATGTTGCAGCATTTTAGCTGGGAGTTGTATAAAGAAGTGGGAGATGTAGGAAGGATGTTTTTCTACCATCTTCCACAAACATCTGGTTGCCTAATTTATGTGGAGATCACAATTATATGCTGCAGGGGAAGACATTACTGGAATGTTATTTAGGTAAGGCACTGTATGTCTCCATGTTTCCTAGTGTAAACACAAGGAAACATATGCAATAGTCGCTGTGAGGGAGTATGAGATTGACCTTCTCTCAAAAGAGCACTCCAGGTTGGTTTGCAGTTAAACAAAAGCTGAATATGTGGAGAAAGAAAACACCTTATACGTATGGTCGGTGCTCTGGAGCTGCTTCGCTATTAAACATGTATGGAAAAATGGTTTGCATGGCAATAGGAAGTCTTAAAAATACAAAGACATTATAGATAAAAAAAATGCCAGAAAACTGAAAGAGGTTTCTTGTTTAATCTCTCACTGGAATAGTGGAAATGAAATATTGGCCGAATCACATAGAAATATTAAAATAAGCAAAGAACCAACCTTCTTCCATCGACAAATCAGTTCCCAGACCCCAATCCTGCTGAGAATCTGTGGGTTGAGCTGAAGAGAAGATAGGTAGAAAAATTAAAGCTTCCCATCAACATTTTATGATGATATTCCGCAACATTATTTAATTTATCATGACTGAACCAATATTTTCATATCCAATTCCATCCATCTTCTCCCACTTCATCCCTCCGGATCCTCGTGGGGCTGGTACCCATCTCCATCAGTCTATGGGCAAACAGGTCTCCTGTCCACCGCAGGGCAACAAAGAGACAAGATACCCTGCACACGCTCGCCTAAAAACGATTTAGCCGTTAATACGCTCTACGATACTTTCAATCGTTTCATGCAGCTACAACTCAAACGTACGATGAAACCTCAGGGTTTAAAAGTTCCCAGCTCACCATGTTTGTTCTCACACTGTGCGACTCGACGCTCTGATGCGATCTACCTGCTCAAACTCTACGTCTAAAAACCAGGTGGGACTCAGCTCCAAAGTGTTCAATTCTATTCAGTTTATTTCTATAGCTCCAATTCACATCATGTCATCTCAGGTCACTCTCCAGTTCACCAGATCATCCAGTCAGATTGATTCAAAGTTTTCTATCTAAGGAAAACCAGCTGATTGCATCGACTCATTGACTCTTCAGCAATCCCTCACACAAAGCATGCTTGTAGCGACAGTGGAGAGGAAAAACTCCCTTTTAACAGGAAGAAACCTCCAGCAGAACCAGGCTCAGTGTGAGCGGCCATCTGCTGAGGCCCACTGGGGTTCAAGGAGACAGAAGCAGACATAGAAAAAGAAGCATAGATACAAAAGGCAACTGTAAAAGTTAGCACACCCCCGCCATGCTTCTGTGTTTTCATCTGAGTGGAAGAAGAAGAATCCTTGTTTGCCCACTGAGTGATTTGCCCACGACCACCTTACGACGGCCGACTGAATTTCAAACATGATTCCTGATGGGAGGTGGCCGTTAGAGGCTGATCGCTCCTCGTTACCCCCTGTTCACTACACCACATGGAAAAATTCTTGCACGACTGGAGAATCAGCCCAAAAATGTCAAAACATCATACAGTTTATGCCGGGTTTAAAGAAGCCAATTAACAGTCATGTTTCTGGACTGTGGGAGGAAGCCGGAGTACCCAGAGAGAACCCACGCTGCACAAGGAGAACAAGCAGACTCCATGCAGAAACACCCCGGGCCGGGATTCAAACCCAGAACCTTCTTGCTGCAAGACAGCAGTTCTACAATGTGCAGCCATGTATTGAATGCTCACATGCAATAAAAAGATCTTTTTAAAGACTTTTTAATTTTTTTTGTATAAATTTAATGGTGGTGCCAGTTCATGCACCTTATTTTAAACAGTAAATGTTCAGATGCTGTGAAATTGCAGACATCGGATATCAGTGTTGGGTTCTGCCTTCTGCTCCATTTACACCCCAAATTGTTTCCATTTTAGCCTAAAGTTATAGGTCGTCGAGGCAAAGCTGCTGCTCTAAAACTTCCTTCCTAAAGAACCTTGTTAACTCATTTCACCAATCAGTGCTTAATTCCAGTCCCCCACCAAAAGCAGAGCTTAGTTCCCCGGGGACATCAAACCCCAGGACTCTGTGACAACCGATTCACGCTGGCTGGCTCTGCAGCAAAAACAGATTTCTATTAATTGTTCCCCCAAAATGAACCTCCTAATTGTAGTTGTCTCAGGCCATCAGAAGCCTGTCTGAAGCTTTTTAGCAGGTCAGAGGAACACTTCAATTATCCTCATGCATATCGTGATAAAAGACAGTTTCAGCCATTTAACAATGTCAGAGTTAATGAGGGCCCAATGAGAGGATGTTTTTAAAAAAATGTATGAGCCATGAGCATTGCAGAGCACAACCCGCGCTACAATAGATTAATAACGGTTCCAGCACTAATTACCACTATTATGTCTAACACCTTCCTTGTTTGCATAAGTAGATTTATTCTAATTTAGGTTTTTTAATCATAAATAATGGCTGAGGGACTGACTTATAATAAAAAAACATTGCAAATATATCTGTATATATATATATATATATATATATATATATATATATATATATATATATATATATATATATATATATATATTTAGTGTGTAGTAAATGCAAAAGTAAAAAACATACTTTCTAAAAATACCAAACAATTGTCATGACAAGGGGTGACTTTAGGTGTTTATCAGTTTTTCATAGAAAACTAATTCCCATTCACTTTTAATACCTTTCAACTTTATTCACATTTTGGAAAACTAAGCCGTGCAACACAGAGTAGTGCATGGCAATGATAGTTATTGTTTTTTCTTAAAGGTGCACAGCATACATTGTGACGCATAGATTATGATGCATAACGAGTTATTTCGAATGATTCCTCAGGCCAGAATTGAACGCATTGATCTATCAATGCTACCAGCGGGGCTCCCCTCGTCAAATGCCGACTATGTTAGTTAGTAGAAGTCGCAACGTCGTTGGTCAGGTCATGTGACCTGGAAGAACGTATGGCTTTACGGCCGCAGGCGCTCATATCGTCATGGAGCTAAGGCTTTAGCTCTAGTAGTTTCCCGCCTGCTCGACTGCTGGTCATGGCTGGGGAAGGAAAAAGATTCAGAGGAGGCTAGAAAGGGACAACGTGGAAGGGATCGTTCACGAGGAAAAACAAGCCGGTCATGGATAGGAGTTTATTTGTTGCCGCAGGCTGAAAGAAGTAAAATCAATTTTCTTTTCTCAGCTTTTTTCTTAGACTGTTAGGTTAACATTTTGCTCCTAGTATTCAGTCATATTTCTGTTGTTATTTTCGATGTTTAGTAGAAGGAAAGAGCAGATAAAGCCAGCAGGCTGCAAACAAGAGCTAACAGAGACCAGTGGAGCCTCCAGAAATGTTTCAGGGGGGGGGCAGATGGGGCCAGTAATAAACTTGGGGGGGCCACTGAAACTAAACGCCATCATTTCTACCTGAGTGAAGTTGG